TGTAGATCGCAAGGCACCCTTAAAGGCAGATATCAAATTATTTATCATTCTGCGAGATGTAAATATGTGCTAAAATATTATGTTCTTTGCCATTAACTCAAATATTAGGAGAGCCGTAGATTATGCTACATCAGTTCAATTAATTTTTACCGGCACAGGTACTCGCCTCCGCTACTGTACAGGAACTTACCACATGCCGCACCCACTCCAGGTGAGTAATAACTTATAAGATTGTCCAGAAAAATAAACTTCCGCTTAATATTCATGTACTTGAAAAATTAATTCCTGGCGATTTCGGGTGCTTTATAACGCTCATGAGCAGTTGTTCTAATTTGCATATTTTTAGCAAACATTTCATCGAGACATCGGTGAATATTTTTGCTTTTGTGTCAAAAACAAAGCTATTTTATTCCCCCAATATTGAAGGTGGAAAATTTGAGTCCTAAGAAATTTGAAGTTACTCCCAAATGAGTTACCTACGCTACACAAATTATGATATGTAAGATATTCGATTCTGTTTTTATAAATAAATCATGGCCTTTCTTTTGCCCAGTTGTGATCTATCATCGTTTTCGATTATCATTACTCACCATACTATATACAAAATTTATATTTTGTCGCGATATATTCCACAGCGTTATGATCTTCGCACTAATTAAAGTCAATTGAAATAATATATGATGAATATATGTATTACAATATTCCGTGTTTGATTAAAGTTTTCTCCACAAAAAGGACCATGTCTGACTGCATCGGACATCAACTGCACCACTTCGATTTGAATGGTGGTGCTTCGATGGTGGTGCCCTCCCGCTTCGATTTGAATATGATGCTAATACTAATTTTTAACCCGTTTTGCATGCACTAGTTTTTCAAGTCGAAATCAATCTTGCCCTAATTAAAAACACAGCAATTCATTCACTATACGCTCTTGCCAGAGTTGTCAATATTTTTTCTCCCTCTTCGTTTTTAAATTGCACGCCAAACGCCAAGTTATAGCACCTGTTCCACTGTATAAGTTTTCAAAATCGGAACCCATCTTGAAGTAATTATAACAAATCTATTTATTTACTACACAATCTTGCGAGTGTTTGAAGTTTTCACACAGGTTGCATGTTTAACTAATGTAACTTACATTGTATTCTGATAACGCTTACAATAACGTATTGTAGAAAGCTTTTGATACTAGAATCCCAATCAGAATCACAGCGAAAACGTAGCCAATTTATACCGAATTATTGTCGATTTAGTTGTCAAAACTTAATCGCCATTTTAAGAGGCTTAGCTCAATATGTATCCCCGTAATAATTATGTCCGTATTAGCTGTTAACGAATGCCGGTGTTAGGACTCGATCGCACCCTGTCTGCCGTTAGCAGCCAAGCAGGTTGTGAACTTACGATGGCAGATTGGCTGGCCTGTCAGTCACTTGATAGATGTCACTGTGAGGAGTAGTTCTGGAGCGTGCGATGTGTTTTCGTTTGAGAACGCAATCATTTCAGATTTATCGCAGTCAATCACAAGTAAGTTCAATAATTTATATAAAAGAATTATCGTTAATATTACTACGAAACTTTTTGCGAAATCAGTGTTTTCCGGGTGCAAATTAAATGCATTTTATCATTTATGTCGTCTTGCCTGTGGAACGTTTGGTAGTATTTATGTCATTAATCCAAATATTTCTGATTCCATGCGTTTGATTGCTAACATTAGATGGGCAAAAACGTTAATACTGTTGTAGGAGAGTTGAAATTCAATATAAAAATCCAAGAAAAATCATGCAAGCTCTGGCATGAAAACAGTGAAAAACTATAAAGAAGTTGTTGAACTAAGAGTGTGATTAGCTTGCAATTTTACACTTTTTGGAGGTGTATATGGTACAGGTCTCTTACTTTATTGTATTATGCTGAATCGATGGATACTTGACTCTGATTTTATGTGACTACCCTATAGGAATAATAATTCTAATAAATGTTCATAAAATTATTCAGCGGACTTTAAGAGAGCTGAAGCCTCCCCAAAGTGGACCAATTATGCCGAAGATGTAGCTTGGGACTATGACTGCTTTACTTTCTTAATTATTTATATTAATCAACTCGTCTTATAGATAATTAGTTAAAAATATTTTGGCTCAAAAATATACGAGTGTATTGGAAATGTTCACAATTGTAAGGTCGCAGAAAGTTTATTGTAAACTAAGTATTTTACGTATTCTGCTATGAGACCTGGAAAGTTCAATGCAAGAGATCCGTTTTCCGACTACGTTATACAGCAATTATATCCACATTAGTTGTCCAAGAAAAGCTATAGGAACTGTAAATAATAACCCAACCTATTTAGCTTAATTACAATCATGCATCTTGCTCTTGTGTCTAGTCTATTGTATAACTTGGAATCCAATAGGTCGCCTCTAGAAGAGCGTCAATCAAGCTCGTGTCCGAGATGTCATTAAGGTTTACGACCGCGGACATTGTAGTGCACTGGATGAACTGACCATCCATACATGCATTTACTGCTTCTTGTAACAATGGAAAATCGGGACAGTCAAAACAGTTCATAATTGGAAACGTTTATTAAATGTTAGTTCTACGTTTTTTTAATGAAGTGATAGAATCAAATTACGAATATTAAATGCTTAATAACAGTACCTATAAGAAGTAAGACAAAGTGTAATATATTTTTTAAATTTGTTTCAATATTTTACTGTGTATAAAATTGCAATTTGTCTCATATTCATTTCTCTTTATGTATTTATTTCTTGAGATTCAAAATTTTTAATTCATATATGTTGTTATCTTGGCACATATGAAAGAAAACAATCGTGCATCAGGTGGCCCAAATGAGGGCGGATGAACGATAATCAGAGGCGGCGATCCATCGTGGCCTGGGACTGCTATGTCCCAAACAAATACTAAGGATACTAAGGAACTAGTAAAGCTAACAATTCAATCAGTGGACAATTCAGTTCAATTGGTTTTATGGCTCCATTCCGTCTTTTGTTTGCTGGGCGTCCCCGCGCTTGACCACAAATTGGTTTATGACATCAAGCTCGAGATGGAAGCCTCAAGCTCGCACATTCCTACTATTGAAGTGGTCAAAACAACAACACAAGCGGTCGTTAACAAGTGATCTCAAGCAAACAAGTTATCTTTATAATGAAATGATTACTTGGTCACTGGGGCAAACTGTTGAAAAGTCATTAATAAAATTATTGACACTCTACTAATGTAACTTTATATGAAAATGTATACGGGATGCAGTTCAAACATTAAGTTTGTTGTGGGATTGAGAAAATTATTACATTTGTTCATGTAGTAATGCATACTGACGTCGATTAATGATCAAACTTTTAGTATATTGAGTCTTAAGTGCTGATTCACGAATTACTTTTGATTAAAGTATTAGGCAATTAATGAACTGATGGCATATGCTAACTCTGAATATTCTTGATTGCATCGTAACAAAAAAGTAGCATCAAGCAACCCCTGCAATTTTTCTGGCATGTTAACAAGGTATTGAATGAATGAAAGTTTTCCAGACCAGGAATATTGACAAGAAAACTATCATGGTAAATTCAAAGAAAGCGTGTCTTAAATGCCAGAAGCGAGGGAAAGTTTCAAGAGGAACGTGATGCTAAGTTAGGTTTACGCGTGAATGAACTTTACGTTCATGAATAATAATAATTGAATAATTTTAATAATTATTATTAATCTAGGAATGCTTAGTAAATTGTTCTGTGTAAATTAGCGAATTAATGAGGCAGGCCTCGAAGTTATTTTCTTAATCTTATGAAAACACTGATAAAATTTCGTGATGATAATTGTGGCTCCAAGAGGAGCCGGGTTAGTAATGGTATCAACCACCTTGCAATCAAGTTACTTTGAAGAGGTGTATTTGGTAACAGCCTTGGTGCCTTCTGATACGGCGTGCTTGGCCAGCTCTCCAGGAAGCAGCAGCCTGACGGCGGTCTTCTCGCTGCCGAGGTTCTTGAACTTGCTGGCAACGCTGCACGTGACAACAAGAAGACTCGTATCATTCCTCGTCACCTTCAGCTTGCCATCCGTAACGACGAGGAGCTCAACAAGCTTCTCTCGGGAGTGACCATTGCTCAGGGCGGAGTTCTGCCTAACATCCAGGCTGTTCTGCTCCCCAAGAAGACGGAGAAGAAGTAAAATCATAATCTCGATATTATAACCGGCTCCTCTAGGAGCCACAATTATGTTTCGAGAATATATTCTTGTTTCATTGTATTCCTATAGCTCATTTACGCTCGTACCCTCGTTTTTTCGGTCATTGATCTCATCAGACGCTGTTCGTTACTCAACGAACTAAATTTGATACAATGCAGCTAATAACAATAATTTCTCTGGAAGGATTTACCCTCACTGCATGGAAAACTGACCAAAGAGTTTGAATGCAAGAACAATGCTGATCACTTCGAAGAAAACTTACATCTCGCCGCTATGTTGCATATTCATGCACTAGATGCCAAGTTTTGTCTATGAAAGCACAGTGACCTATTTGTATCAAGGTTCGAGCGTATGCCATCGCTGAAGTTCTTTGTTGCATTGGAATTTCAATCAGGTGCTAATAGATGTCGAGCTAAGCAGTTTGTAGGAGCATTTATCTGCTTCCAATTTTTAAAATGAACAACTCATTAATATACCCGAAAGAAGAAAATCATTAATCTATTATTATGTAACGAGTTGGAAGCGAAACGCTCATTTTCTGGGAATAATCGCGCCGTAAATGCACGAGGTGGATGTTAATTTCATTTATGAACTTTTGTGATAATGAGTTTCTGTGTGCATGCATCAAAGACTGCTGAACTTACTAATAGAAGTTTCTTCCAAACAGTCCTCATTTCGATTGATTCCACTGAGGCCAGAAGCGTTTATGGGGTTCGAAAAAAGAACTCTTACACTGCAAGAGGCTTTCGATCGGTATTACTATCTTGCTAGAAGATAGCTCTAGAAAACAATGAACATTATTTCTGGATAGATTTGTGGACCTGAAAAGGTCCGAGTCCACGGCACCGGTCTCCAGGTGCGGACTCAATGAAGGCCATTTTATTTAACCTCCGAAGCCGTAGAGAGTACGGCCCTGTCTCTTCAGAGCGTACACGACATCCATGGCAGTGACGGTCTTCCTCTTAGCATGCTCGGTGTAGGTGACGGCATCACGGATGACATTTTCCAGGAATACTTTGAGCACACCGCGAGTCTCTTCATAAATGAGACCCGAAATACGCTTGACGCCACCACGACGAGCCAGCCGACGAATGGCGGGCTTGGTGATACCCTGGATGTTATCACGTAAAACCTTGCGATGCCTCTTGGCGCCCCCCTTTCCTAGTCCCTTGCCTCCTTTACCGCGACCTGTCATCGTAGCTGATACTAGAGTCGAAATGATACCGCAGAAGCGGCGCACACCGCTTTATATAGGAGCCACTCGGCAAAAGCCCGAGTAAAAGGGACTGTTTTCCGCTGCGTAGAAGTATTGCTTGCCGACCAGTTTTCACCACCATTCTGAATCTCAATCACGTCTGCAGAATACTCAGCTCTCCCTCATCTTGTCAATATAATGAGACCCTTTCGTGCTCGCACTATTAGTGTGAAATTTCGTCAAAGATTCACCATGGCTCGTACCAAGCAGACCGCTCGTAAATCGACTGGAGGCAAGGCTCCACGCAAGCAGCTTGCCACCAAGGCTGCTCGCAAGTCTGCCCCCGCCACTGGAGGCGTCAAGAAACCCCACAGATACAGGCCCGGGACCGTGGCTCTGCGTGAAATTAGGCGCTACCAGAAGAGCACTGAGCTGCTCATCCGCAAGTTGCCTTTCCAGAGGCTCGTCCGTGAAATCGCCCAAGATTTCAAGACTGACTTGCGTTTCCAATCTTCGGCCGTGATGGCCCTTCAAGAGGCTTCTGAGGCTTACCTCGTGGGTCTTTTCGAAGACACCAACCTGTGTGCCATCCACGCCAAGCGTGTCACTATCATGCCCAAGGATATCCAGCTTGCTCGCCGCATCCGTGGAGAACGTGCCTAAGGAGTATGAATTTGCGGCATAATGAGGGCTTAACCAGACGCTCTTAAGTACAACCTGGCTCTTTTTAGGGCCCCTCAATTGCTTAAGAAATTATATTCAATCTTCAGCAAATTAAAATATTTCAGCAAACTCATGACCGGCTCTAGGTTGGGTCATGTGTTTGTAAATGGCCGGATTAAGTTTAGGAGGGAAAATATCTACCCAGAAAAACTGGTAAAATGCAGTAAATTTGCTTGGAAATCTGAAATTGAAAAAAAAATATTGAGAAAAACTAGAAATGTGCGCTAAAGTTGAACTTCTAGGTTAATTTGCTCAGTTATAGATAACAGAGTTCTTAGGTACAATGACGGCTGTTTGTCAGAAACTGTCATATCACACAGTTATCTAAAAAAATACGTACAGAACATTTAAATTATTACCATGCACTCTAATTGCTTTTGAAACATTTCCAGAAAGCATAGATCAGATCCAGTTGTACCAAGAAGCTAGCATGTGGCAGCTTAAACACGTTCTCATAGACCTGAAATTAAGCTGCAGCACATGTGGGATAACATCTGGAGTGACTTGTAAGTGAGATAACAGAGACCTGAAGGATCTGTGAGAGGTATAATAAAGGCTTGGAGAGGGAATTGTGAGTGAGATAACAGAGACTTGAAGGATCTGTGAGAGGTATAATAAAGACTTGGATAGGGAATTGTGAGTGAAATAACAGAGGCTTGAAGGACTTGTGAGTAGTATAACAGAGTCCAGTAATAACCTTATACAATTAACTCTTCACTTGTATAGATGGAAGAACATTTCACTGCCGAATTCGACCAAAGCAAATTTAATAGTTGAATATTTCTAAATTCTGAGGTGGAGACAATAATGGAATATTCGCTGAATATATGTTGGACATTGTTGGCGTAATTTTGATTTATCAACCTTTTGTGATAGAGATCAGGGCTGAGGCTTATCTGTACGAGCAACTGTGAAAGCTTGTTAGTGCGGCGCTTCATGAGCAAACTGTAGAAAGAAATGGTAGACATTAATGTACCAGTTATTAAAAAATATAGTAAAAATATTTCAAATATATATATTTTCGATCTTCGTGTTGAGCATTGGCATGGATGCCGACATCAATAGAAGTTATCAAGAAAATTCTTACATGAAATTAACATTCGCTAGATGCCAATTTTAATATATTTTATATTTAATTTAATATTTTTTAGACATAACTCGGTATAGAATACCGAGTAACGAGTATGGAGTCATGAGGTCTTTTTGTTGTCACGTGCAGCGTTGCCAGCAAGTTCAAGAACCTCGGCAGCGAGATACTCCATTACAGCAGCTAGGTAAACTGGCGCACCAGCACCAACACGCTCGACGTAATTTCAGCGCCAACAAGCTCGGCGTCTTTCGCGCTCAATTACTTGAATGTATGGGATGAATGTTAACGTCGTGCTTTATTGTACTTCGTTTTTGTAACACTTTACATTTCGTCAGTATGTTGAGCCGAATGAACGTTGATAAAAACTAAAATACTAAACTGAATGAACTAAAATGGAAATATATGTTTAAATATAAAATACCCTCCCATGAATAGGTTTCTCTATGCTAACTTGTCAGGGTGAAATTGGGCGCGCAGCTAACACGTATTCGAGTTGTTCAGCTCAAGATCTATCGAAAAATAAGCTCATGACAAATTGCTTCACTCTAGAGCTTCGTCGTTAACGTCGTACTTCATCGACCGGATTATAAATATATTTGAAATGTTACAAAACTTCGTTTTTGTAACACACCACTTTACATTTCGTCAGTATATTGAGCCGAATGGACGTTGATAAAAAACTAAAATAGTAAACTGAATGAACTAAAATGGAAATATTGGTTTAAATATAAAAATACCCTCTCAGTCAGAAGTGGCGAAAAAATATTTTCTACAATTGGCATCTAGCGAATAATGAAACGAATATATTCTCGGAACATAATTGTGGCTCCTAGAGGAGCCGGTTATAATATCGAGATTATGATTTTACTTCTTCTCCGTCTTCTTGGGGAGCAGAACCGCCTGAATGTTAGGCAGAACTCCGCCCTGAGCAATGGTCACTCCCGAGAGAAGCTTAATTGTTGAGCTCCTCGTCGTTACGGATGGCAAGCTGAAGGTGACGAGGAATGATACGAGTCTTCTTGTTGTCACGTGCAGCGTTGCCAGCAAGTTCGAGAACCTCGGCAGCGAGATACTCCATTACAGCAGCTAGGTAGACTGGCGCACCAGCACCAACACGCTCTGCGTAATTTCCTTTACGCAGGAGACGGTGGATCCTACCCACGGGGAACTGAAGTCCAGCCCTCGAAGAACGAGACTTGGACTTTCCCTTTACTTTGCCGCCTTTACCGCGTCCAGACATGATGAAGATTTACCTTTTGCAACAAACGACAGGAATTTTAACGTTTATAATTAAACTACCTGCCGCCTCACTATATGAAGATATTTGCGCACCCAACTGTTACCAACGAGCGATCCAATGCTGTACCAGCTGCTCGCATGCTGCAGTCGTCAGCTGCGTTAGGCCTAATGGCCGCACGCTAAACTGGAGACTTTGATCTTAATTTTGCTTAAGTTGCACGCAATTTCAGGACGAATTTAAACCTGGAAGTGAAGTTGCAAGTATGGCTCCTAAAACATCCGGAAAAGCTGCGAAGAAGGCTGGCAAGGCCCAGAAGTCCATTACGAAGGGAGATAAGAAGAAAAAGAAGAAGAGGCGTGAGAGCTACGCCATCTACATCTACAAGGTACTGAAGCAAGTCCACCCTGAAGTAGGAATGTGCGAGCTTGAGGCTTCCATCTCGAGCTTGTGTCATAAACCAATTTGTGGTCAAGCGCGGGGACGCCCAGCAAACAAAAGACGGCAACGGAATTGAACCATAAAACCAATTGAACTGAAGTCCGCTGATTGAATTTTTAGCTTTACTAGTTAGTTTTTTTCATATGTGCCAAGATAACAACAAATATAAATTAAAAATTTTGAATTTCAAGAAATAAAGAAAAATGTATATGAGACAAATTGCAATTTTATACTCGGTAAAATATTAAAATGAGTGCAAAACATATTACACTGCGTCTAACTTCTTATAGGTACTGTTCATTAAACATTTAATATTCGTAATTTGATTCTATCACTTCATTAAAAAAACGTAGAACCGACATTTAATAAACGTATCCAATTATGAACTATTTTGACTGTCCTAATTTTCCATTGTTACGAGAAGCAGTAAATGCATGTATATGGATGGTCAGTTCATCTAGTGCACTACAATGTCCGCGGTCGTAAACCTTAATGACATCTCGGACACGAGCTTGATGTCTGATGCTCTTCTAGAGGCGACATATTGGATACCAAGTTATAGTTAAAAAGTTAATAGTTTTCGTAGTAACGTTAACGATAATTCTTTTATTTAAATTATTGAACTTACTTACGATCGACGTCGATAAATCTGCAATGATTGCGTTCTCAAATGAAAACACATCGCACGCTCACTCCTCACAGTGACATCTATCAAGCGACTGACAGCCAATCTGCCATCGCAAGTTCACAACCTGCAAGGCTGCTAACGGCAGACAGGGTGCGATCGAGTCCAAACACCGGCATTCGTTAACAGGTTAACAGCTTATCGGCAGTTTAGCGAAGTGATTGATTCGAATTATGAAATAATTCGATGACATGACAGAGGCGTCAAGAAAAGATTAAAAATAATCAATATTTAGAACCACATCCCATTACTTTAAATTAATAAATAACACAATGCATGCATGTAAAACACAAGTCCAACAATTTAAGAGTGAAACATTTCAGAGCAGAAACCTATCAGTCTTGACCAACAGTACACTTCTGGCTCAGTCATAAACTGGATCTCTACTGACAAGTCGGTTTTTAGCCGCTTTTCGAGACCTCGTAATTGTCATGGCTTCGATTGGTGTAAATTACGAACAATAACTTTATGAGCATACACAGCCTTCGCGCCTCTAGCTGTTTGCTTCATGCCACTATTCTGCTACGACGCAATCAAATATAATCGGAGTTAGCATTTGCCATCGGTTTATTAATTCGCTTAATACTCTAATACAAAATAGTATTTATTATTCAGCAATTAAGACTTAATTTACCATAAGCTTCAATTAATCTTCACAAAACCTCAGTAGGCATTTCTGCGTGAAAAAATGTTGTAATTATTCTCTGCAACTTGGAAATAATTTATAGTTTCGATTGCATTCCATTTGCATTTTGATATAAATTTTCATTAATATATGTCTACAATTTTAGTAATTAATTTTCATAAGAGTCTCACTCAAAACGTTTACCAAATAGTCACT